CCAGGGATTTAGTGTTTTAACGTCATTGACAGTCAAAGAAGACATGACTTGTGCAATGCCAAAATAAAAGTATCGGCAGACAGTAGGATAGTTAACCTGTTAATAAATATGTATAATGTAATATATAGATAGAGTAATTTCTATATAGAAAATGAACGTGGATGTGTATTTATACATCCCAAAAAAACGTTTGAAAAGAATACAAATTTAGTTATGTTTTAATTTGTTTACCACGAGTCTTGCCTTTAGCTTTAGTCGATTCAGCTTTTTAAGAAACGGTAAAACGCCATTTGAAGTAAAATAACTGCAATGTTCCATATATAATGTGTTATATTATGTATTACTTTGCTGTGAAATGTTGTTGAGGTACTTGTTGCGTTAGATATCGTACCAAGTGGTGAAATACCCAAATTATCCTTTCTGCTAGAGTCAAATAGCCTCCACCATTTTTAGCAGAGTGCTTTTTTTCGAGTATCATTATCTTGGAACATGACGCTATCTTTGTATCAATATCATTTATATCGTAAATAAAATAAGGAGATATGGTATGATTTTCAATTAGACAACTATCCACCAGAGACCAAATGACGTGAACTATTGGTAATCGTACGGCCTTCATCAATGAGTAAAAACCCATGGCGTATAGTAAGTTATTAAGGCAACGCCATAACAAAATGTGAATCTATTCAAAAGAAATAATAAACGAACTGATTTTTACTAAGCAATAAATGAGAAAAAAAAACCAAATATGACAGACAGCAACCATCGTTAGGTAGTATTTACTTCACCATAATTTTATTTGTTTTATACATTTTCAACAATTTCCGGTTTTTTTGTTCTTATTCTGTTTATAGTTGTATTTTCTTACGGTGACATTGTGTAATTAGACTTGTTGTGCATTTTAAATCGCCATTGTCGTTGAATCTCACCGATTTAATCCAAAGTACATATGTTTACAGTACTGTCTTTGAAGAATTGCCAAAGGGTTCCATTGCGGGTTTTCCTATTTCTTCGTCAAGAAGGAAAATCGGCGTCTCTTCAAATTAATCTTGTCCGCCCTTGAGTTCCGCTATAGTTTTTTTTTCTAGTAGCCAAATATATATGTTTCTTCCTTTATTGGTCTCATAACAATCTCTTATAGTAAGCTGTTGCTTCGTATATATCTACTTGAGTAAACGTCTGCATGATGCCAATTTTAATGTGAACGACGTGTTTCTAGAATACTTCATCAGGTGCATGTACATTAGTTTTTGCAGATTGATTTCCATATTATATATAAAGATGTATTTTTGTTAATATTTTCCAGGTTCCCCCCTGATCAACCTTCTAAAAGTCATTTAAACTGAGACTGAATATGCTAAGCGAAGCATATTTTTGAGAAAGAATTATTGGAATCTGTCTATGTTTTTACATTAATAAAATTACTGTTATGAACGATAAATATTATGTTTAGGATCAGACACAATGATTAACTAGCACACTTAGAGATCTATAGACAAATCTTACTTAGTTATATAACAAACGTAGCGATATATTGTAGATGTAGGAATCCATTTGCAGAAATATGTTTTTCAAATTGTTTTATTGTTATATTATCTATAAAGCAAACAGTTTTTTTACTTATTAGACTTGATAAATGTTACACTTTTGGTGGCTAATCATTGCATCTGGAACAGCATTACACAAAACTAAAGTATTCTTTTTATCCGTATTATATTCAACATATATATACTTTAGGCATTGCACAAAGAACATTTCCCCTGGTACAGCTCGTATCGTTGATGTATGGAATCTACTCAGAAGTATAGCTGCCAATATAAGATTGCAGGACGGCATATTTTCTAAATCAGCCGTTGAATTACTTCGAGCTTGCCTTATTATGACTTTGAGATGAAGAACTGCAATATGAGCGCTGTTCATTTGTTTTTTGTGCTTTTTGCTGTGCATGTACTCATTTTGTGTCATGTATGGATACCATATATCCATTCTTTCTATCATACATGTACATGTGTTATTATCGATCATATTACCGGTATTAGATAAACTCACCATAGATATATCAAAGGCAGGGTTGATGTTTTTTTTTTCTGAACGGATTTTATTTTACGTTTTCCTATTTACCAGTATAATTTAATGCTGTTCCGCTGATAGCAACAAAAGGTGAGATTGAGTGCTAAAAATAAGCACCATCGGTTTGTATTGTTCGCGTGATTGTCCCAAGTTAAGAAGCTTGTCACCTAGTATATCTTAAAGTTTTCCTTGAAGGACTATTTATGTTTATGACAGTCCTTTAATAGTCATTGTTACATATTCTCACTAACTTTCTAGACTCAGGCGATATGGAACTTGATATATGGTATACATGCATGGTAGGAACAGTTTGACCGTATGTTGAACTCTAGTATTTTTTTTTTTTTTTGTATTGTTATTTGTTCGATGGCTCCTAAATGTGATTTATAGGGAATATAAGTATTGGACAGGTGTAACCGTACCATGAATGGTCAGCTTTTATTGGTCCACATACAATTAGAGTAAACAATACACCAGAACTGTGATTAAGTTAGGGAGTAAATAATCAATTTATCGAAATGATGGAAAAAATAATAAGTTGACAAAATATGGATATATCTATAAAGAACATATTGTTCTCTAGGTTTGGATTTTCTATTCCTCCTTTAGTGGCATCACCTCTTGTAACCTGTTGTTACACAACACATGCTCAAGTAGTCAATCGGAAATGGACCAGATGAACAAAGATTAAGTTGAATCAACCGTAGTTATATTTACACAGTACTTAAGCTTGTTCAAGAAATTTACCACCAAGTGATTTTCTTTTTGATCAGCTAGTTATTCTTTTAACATTCACTTTGAAAATGGGCGTTGTCTATAATTTTTGACCTGAATTTTGATTTTAAAATCAAAACATACGTAATCTCTTATAGTTTTTAACCACAGGCGAAAAACTACGGTAATTTTTTTGTGTATCTGGCTTCAGCGATGTGTTTATTTCTCAAGATCAGCTGATACTGATTATATTTCATGGCATGCAGACTGATCTTAGGCATTTATATCCCATCAATTGACCTGAGAGAGAAAACTTATTGATTTGAAGCGCACTTCCTTTATGTTTCACTGGGTTAAAAAGCCGAACAACCTTTAAGCAAACACCAATATAATTATGCCGTAGGCTATTGTAAACAAGTGACAGAAGATGCCAAGGGGATAATATAAGATCGTAAGTTTTAGAGATACATGTCAAAAAACAAAAACGACGAAAAGACCAGAAAACAGTGTACAAGACACACTGCACAGAAGACTAAAATAAAAGACATCACAGCACATATCCCACCAAAGACCAGAGGTGAAATCCACTACACAGAAGACTAAAGACATCACAGCACATATCCCACCAAAGACCATACAGAGGTGAAATCCACTACACAGAAGACTAAAGACATCACAGCACATATCCCACCAAAGACCAGAGGTGAATTTTAGTGGAGTTCATTAAAGGTTTGCAAATCCTGCTCCACTAGTTAGTGTCACTCGTCGTGTTGCTCATTACAAGTATACGTAAATAAACGGTAATAAGTCGCATTCAGTCATGCTATAAATTATAATCGAAAAGGAGAGGGAGTGTGGTTACGGCAATGATAATCTGTGTCACAGGTAATCCAATACGGTCGACCAACCAAATCATGATTGCGTCCGTAAAACTTTCGAAGGGAGAACTTCAACTTAAGCATGATGAATCCTTGGTTAAATAGCTTTCTTGTAAGAAGCAACCCTTTATCATGATAGGAAACACTAACTTTGGAATATCGTATCAACTGAGTATATTGCATATGCGCTGCTGAAACGTTGAATAAAATATTATCAGATTGCGGCTTAAAATGTAGTACGTAAAACGCCTACACAAGACTCTTCGGTGCCCGAATCAAAACATAAGACAGAATGATACTTATCCCAACTAATACGAACGCACCATTAAACTTATTTTAGAAGTATGCAAAGATGTGGGTACAACACATACTTAACGGTTGATGTTTGATTCCTCGTTAATCTGATATCGTTATGGAGTTCTTTTATCACAACTCGTTTCATAACACGTGCTCTAACAACAAATTGTCATGGATAATTGCCAGGAGAAATAATAGATTCTAACAACAGACCAGCTATTAATCTTTCAAATATTGCTATTTATGTTTGGATACAGAATTTTGCTAGGTTCAATACATAAAAAACAATCACATGAAAATTAAAAAAAGCTAAGTACAACAGTCAGACATAATGTGTATCACCAGTTCATGAGAGGTTGACAATGTGCATATACAACAGGATAACATGTTTCTCATTAGAAAACTACAACATCGTCACCCAAGGAAATCGAACCGGGGACTTCTGAGCTGAAGAAGTGCGTATCTAGCTCGACCGATTGTGACTTGCTATTAAAAGTATCTACTATTCAAGGGGAAATAATCATGTCAGACTCCCCGAGCCCGATAGTTATTGTTCTCTTCACAACACAAAACTTGGCTATATATAGATATCACTCTTATGGTCTTTAACTCAGTGTGTGTTTTTTCTATTATTTCGGCGACAACTCTAACAAGAGAGCATAATTATCATCAAAAAATCACAACATCGTGAACTCAGGGAATCAAACCCCGGACCTTTGTGTTCGAAGTCAGCACTTTAACTAACTATGCGAAAAAAAACTTCCTTGGCTTGGCTATTACAAGTATCTACTATTCAAGTTAAGGAATCTCTTATACATGCACTTGGTATATTGAATTATAATAATATTTAACTCTAAAACTCAATTAAGGCCATGATTCTGTAAAATTGACCAGTGGTAACTGATATCCTCTGGGATAAGCGTAAGTGTTATTTATGTTACCGTCTGGCGTGTAAAAACATTGCAGCAATATTTACAATTAACGATTAGCACGTTGCACACTGTTTATAATCGAAAGTAAGAGATAGTGCAGTACGCACATCTTCATTGCATTACTGCATTGTAGGCATTTTTGTACATCACTTGAAGACAGAAGCGTGTGTTACTTTCGATTCAAGAGATAATCCTTTTGCGATTGAAGTGAAAATTAGCATGTAAACTATATAGTTATATAAAGTTATATCTTACCTGGAATATTCCATATATTGATTTGTGAGTGAATTGGTAAGTGCTTTATATGATATTATGTAAATATTTGTACTTCAACTTGTCTTAACCTTTTATCTAATGCGCATTAGAGATGTTAACTTCAAAACTAAAAAAAAAGAAGATTTTTTGTAGAATCAAAAATATTAATATGTATACATTTTGTCAGACTTGATCAGATTTGTAAAATATCCATATTTATCTACGAATAGAGCCAATTGTATAATTAGGTTCCTAGTAAAAGTGAATTATAACATTATATTTTTTGTTTGAATTCATCAGTAAAACAATCAATCAGTTAAATAATATAACACGTGTTTAAACTAATTTTACGATGATATAACTTATTTACTCTGTAACGTGTTATCATCATGGAAATATCTGTAATATTGGTTGTTGTACGTTCAACAATGAACGATCGGTGGATTAAACTATAATTTACTTTGCTGCATAGTAAAATATTCTAAAAATTGAAAACCATCCATGTTTTGAAGCTTTTGAATTAACAAACCCTGAACACCATATTTTCATCTGGATTGATTTAGGGCTATTTACAGATCCAAATAATAATAAAAGGTGTCACAGAGTCGCAATTTTAGGCCATTCTAGAAACTCTAAATGATGAAAGTTTGAAAAGGTAATACTGACCGAATTATCTATTTCCAATGACCTGTCAAGACCACGCAATGCATTATTCTTGGATTTGGCAAGCTTATTAATAAACAAGAGTGACAGTATAAGAATACATAATCAGTTGGAAATACTTGTATATTCATGAATCTTTTATCAATGTTTAGTGACAACAATTTGTAAATTCTGTTCATTAATTCTTTGCTATTCACATTACTGTCTATTTCATTCATTCATGTATTCGTGTAACATAAACAACGAAAGTTCTGTAGTTTTAAAATAAAGACAGAACTTTCTTTAACAGTCGCCTTTCTTTTTCCCATATACGTAATAATTTTTATATGCATGCTTGCGAATATATGCATTTTTCCCGATTTAAAGAAAATTTCTAAAAGATAATATTTTCCGATGGTTGGTGGCCTCAGGTTTTACGTCCTCTTAAGAATTACACCTGGATAAACATGATAAACATGATAAACCATAACACTAAGTCTATGAGAGTTCTTTTTTTGCATATAGTTATATTAATCGTTTGCTAGTGTAGGGTTTGGTTATAAATTGTTAGCAGTCTCCATGTTTCTTGATAAAAAATGTTATTCTGAATTTCTGGATAGCAAAATGTTATTCTATATTTCTGGATAACAAAATATTATTCTGTATTTCTGGATAACAAAATATTATTCTGTATTTCTGGATAACAAAATTGTATTCTGTATTTCTGGATAAAACACATTATTCTGGAGACGCAATAAATGCTTAATCTGAACTTTAGTATTGAACTCTATACAGTCATGTCTGTCTTCAAACAGAAAGTAAGACATTTTGTAAAGTGCGTCATTATTACAAACCGATATAATAATACAGCATGAGTCTGCATATGTCTCTCAGGTAAACAGATAAGTAAATGGAATAACATGTGCAGATATAAATATGCACTCTTTTATCTTCTGATGAAAGTTTCATATGATAAAAAGGCTGCATAATACATAAATTGTAACAAAAACCGTACTTCGAGATACAGACATTTTGATTCTGGATTCTGACAGGTTGTTAAATGGTTTTTGCTATCTTTTGGGTGGTGATTTAAAATGATTTAATTTTTTGCATCTCGATTTCTGCAAATGAATGATATATTTTATAGCTTAATGATAACAGAGATGTGTCTCAATGTTACAAGAGCGCAATCATTTGTTTACATTTTACCAGCAACTTTTTTATACTCAGAATGCAATCTAGTGCGACTCCTGATTGCATGATGCAGGGTTGGAATTATTTCTAATTGAACAAGTTTCAGAAAATTCTAACAAAGTGTAGAAAAACAGATTCTTTTTAATTACAAAGGAGTCAGTAAAACATTGCATTTCCCATCTAGTGGAACATAGACGTTTTTTCAACTGCATTTTAGGTCAACCTTTGCCTAATGACCACATACTTTTTTGGCTGTAATACAACGTTAATATTTATAGTTTAACAGGATCTGAATCCCACTTTTTTTCTAATTTGTTTATTCTTCAAAAAAGTAAAATATGGAACACCACTGGTATCTGGGGAAAATGCATTACAAATAATTACCCTTTTGTAACCTGAACGATCAAGCGATATTCAAAAATTCATGTGAGTATTGATGTAAAGGAAAACTAGATATTTTGCTGTAAACGAGAAGTAAAACATGAGTTAACAGACGTATTTACACTTGTATGCAAATTTCCTCTACCATTACTTAAAATCACACAAGTTCCTGTAAAATTTGACGTCATAATTAAAAAGTGATTGTTGCTCAAGTTGACGTCAGATGGTTATTCGGAGACAGATCTAAGGTCATTCGGAGCTAAATACCAAAAATGTAAATACGTTTATTATCAGAAATTGATCTGAACGAGAGCTGATTTACATAATAATATTAGAAATCCATACTGACAGATTTAGTCCTAGTAATGGACTTCTGATAATGTATACGGTCACTCTAAATTGTATAGACAAATGTATAAAATAAAGGGGACAAGTTTCAAATTGGGATGAAATCGAATTGCAATTTTTGGAGATTTGCTAAATGAGAAAATCAGAACTGAAATGATGCATATTTGAAGAAGGTGAAGTGGTTCAATTGATTAATATTGTTCTGAGGATTCAGCCCGAAATCTGGTCTGTATATATTGTCGCGAAACGACTAAACAAATATTTCGTAGAATCTTTTATGAAGTAAATATCACTGATCAGTGTTTACATACTCTTTCTATCTTCATTAATAACTGCCAATTTGTTATCTTGCCAATTTTCATGGTTCTGCCAAATTATTGCTCTAATTGCTAGATTCTTCTAATTAGAACAAAAGTTTTGCATTTCATAGATAATTGGGTTTATTATTTCCTGAAAAATTCTACGCGGAACCCGCAGATGGCAGACCTACATAAAATTAAATCGTGGGAAACAAAGAAATTTACAATCGTATTACTAACCATACATTTGTTAAAAAATTTGTTAGCAGCGGTCAGTTCTATTCTTATGAAAAGCTGTCAAGTTTTCCAATTAAAGTTGCTCAAGTAGTTTCCTGAAGCAAAATCATTTTCATGAGAAATGGTGTTTTCACATACCTTTATAATTTTTTAAAAAGTGATGCGGAATATACCAAAAGAGATATTCAAACTCATAAACATGTTTAACCCCGCCGCATTTTTGCGCCTGTCCCAAGTCAGGAACCTCTAGCCTTTGTTAGTCTTGTATGTTTTTTTAATTTTGGTTCATCTATATGTTTCGGAGTTTAGTGTGACGTCCATTTTCTCTGAACTAGTACACATTTTTGTTTAGGAGCCAGCTGAAACCCGCCTCCGGTAGCGGGATTTTCTCGCTGTGTTGAAGACCCATTGGTGGCCTTGGGTTGTTTTCTGCTCTTTGGTCGGGTTGTTGTCTCTTTGACACATTCCCCGTTTCCATTGTCAATTTTATCATAAGTTAAAGAAAAACTGAAAACGCCATGGCATGATAAAATTAAAACTAAGCGCTGGTAAGAAAAAATGCTGACATTTCTATATTATATATAATTTGTGGTTCAAATGTTGAACAAAATCAATACATACCTTATCGTCTCTTATATTCGTTTGAATTACATTTCTGTTTTTTTATGAAGATGTCCTGGTTTTAATGGATAAAAAATTGACTCTGTAACAAGACAGACATGCAATAACGCAAATATAACTGATCTATAGTTAACATTGTTATTCAAAAACAAGAAAGCAACATCAGAAAAAAATAAAAATCAAACACACACAGCAGATTATCAGAGGATCAGCGGTAAAATCCCGGTTTTTGTCGTCATGTATTTTTTTAAGAGCAAAAAGTTTGAAAAGTCGAAAAAATAAATGAAAGTTGCCTAAAACCAAAGGAATACTATAGGTTAAACAAAAAATATTAAAAACGTGGAGTGGGCTAGATAAGGTAAAAGTAGCAGACAATCATAAACTCTTATATATAATGAAATGGACTAATATTGAATTGATTTTGTCTAGACTCAGAAAGAGGGAGATCTATAATTTAGAGTTTGACATATTATACAGGCATGGGGTAATGCAAATTTGTAATTGTAATGCATGGTAATGCATTACATTTTTCCAAGTAATTGCATGTAATGTTTAATGCAGCAATTTTTGCTTTACATGTAATTGTAATTTAATGCATTACCTTAGCAAAAAGTTGTGTAATTTCATGCATTACATTGCATTACATTGCATTACATGGCATTACTTTTTTCACATACTATATATCTTTAACAGATTGTCGGAGATTAAACTAAAGCAGAATTTAAGAACATAATCATTTAAATATTGATTTTCTATTTTATTTATTTTTCACACTTTACATTGCTAATCAGTTTATTATTATATAGACATTTTATTGCGGAAGACCTTGTGTTGACCTTTAGGTATTTTTTTCTTAATTTGAATCACAGAGACAAATGACTGATTAGCAATGCAACAAAAACAAGAAGAAAAAAAAAAAAAAACAGACTGGCAATTGACGTTAGAGTTCAAATGATACTAACAAGACCAAACTAATCAGAATCTAAAATCCGCAGAACCTAATAGTCTAAAAAAAAACACAAACTATATTTTCATTTATTTTCATCAGAAGTCAATCTCACACTATAAATTAGAATCAAAACGAGCCTATACTAGTTTGACATTAAGACAAGGAAATCGTGGGAGACAAGATAAACGTCAAATACCGATTCAATATATTTCGCACGACAACTTTTTTTTCGGAATTCTCTTTTCATCAGGTACCTTCGAGGCCCAAAGCGCAGGAAACGTTTGTGATCGCCAAAAACAAATTGGAGACAAGTGATATAGATAGCATTCCCATTATTAATCATTGACAGTTAGACAATCACATAA